GGACTCTGGATGCATCTCCCTGTCCAAGTTAAAAAAAGAGAAAGAAAGCCAAAAACACACAGGCGTCTTCTAAATAAGGCAATGGATAAATAGGTGGGTAGATAGATAGGTGATAGATAGATAAGGCCTGGCACAGAGGCCAGCCACTAGCAAGTGCTCAGGACCTGTCAGTCTCTTTCTTACCTCCGACTCCCATCTCTCTTCTCTGTTTACCATGAAGCAGAAGACCATTTGGACTGTTCCTGCTGCAGCTCAGGCCTCAACTGTCCCTTGGCTACTGCCCCAGTGCATTAGTGCTCTTGCATCCTTAATGACTCCACTGATGTCCGGAAATAATTTTCTTTTGCTCATGCCTAGGGCCCACTGAGGTCTCTCATTTCTTGGTAATTACAGAGCATAAGTGCAGCCTGCACCTCAGGCTACAGTCTCATTAATTCACACAGGCATGACATTGGGGGGGATGCCTTTTGATTTTGAATTCACGTACATTCTGATTTTTAATTATTTTCTATCCTTCTGTACACTAGGGGCTGCCTGCTGTGGGAGCCCACTGTGTGGTCAATCTCTTTCTAACAGAACATTTTCAAGGAGGGAAATTAACCTGAGGCCATTTACCACACGGACCCATAGGTGCTCAGTAAATACTTCTTAAGAGGTGACATGCAGATTCAGCCACACCTGCAGTACCAAACATGCAAGAAGGGAGAGGAGTTGCCCTGCTTCTCTTGAAGGTCATCTCAGTATGATTTTCTTTTTCTTTTTTCTTTTTTTTTTTTTTTTGGTTTTTCTCCGGTACCGGGAACCGAACTCACGACCTTGTACTTGCCAGGCAGGCGCTTTTGCCGCTGAGCTAAATCCCCAGCCCCTCAGTATGATTTTCTTTCAGTGCTGTGGATTGAACCCAGAGCCTCATGCATGCTAGGCAAGCACTCTACCACGGAGCCACACCTCAGCCCATGTGGATGTTTGTCGGTGCTAATTTATTGAGCTAGCTCTGATGCTCATACATCAAGATGTCTTCTAGGAGAAAGAAATGTCCTTCTTGAATGTAACTGCATGTCCCATGCTTTCAGACACAATGTCCAATTCCTACTTGGTGCACAGACTTAAAAACTTGGTGTTGATAAATTGTCCTTTGCTTTAGGTACTGTGTACGAATTTAAATTTGGGATTTTTTACTGATAAACTGTCACCAAAGAAGCCACTACTCTCTGGACCTCAGATTTCCTTATGTGTAGAATGAGAACACTAATACTAACAATAACTATTTCAGATGGTTGTGGTGAGATTTAATTGTCACGTAACTGGTTTGTTATTATCAATATCATACAGAACTGTATTGTTGAGCAGACACATTTCTCAATGTTCAGGAGGTCACTTTCTCAACTGGACCATCTGTCCAAAATGTCTCCTTACCTAGTGAAGACCTAGGGGTTGTGAGTTTGAGTGGGGAACACCGGGCTCTGCTTGTGTTGAGAGAGAGTGCTATCTTCACACCGGGCCCCTTGCTGGGGCAGCAGGACAGAGGCTACGTCTGTAGGTGGCTCTCTTGCCTTGTGGGGTGGGGTTGTCCACCTGCTCCACCCACTCAAGCCTCAGAAGTTTCATTTCTGTCCTTTGCTCTCAGCTACAGGGTCTGAAAGTGTGTCCTGACCCTTCTGCTTGGGCCCAGGGCCCTGTGGTTTGAGGGACCCTGAGGATGTGGCTTGGGAGCTCAGGGGAAAACCCAGAACGCAGAAGTTACTGACTGTACAAACAGGATTTTCCCTTTGGCCAGGTTGTTGACCTCAAACATTCTTCTCAACTGCCAGTTGGAAGTTTAGCATTATTGAATAGAGAAGCTTAAGACGGTCAGGGAGGAAGCTGATTTGGGAACGTGGCTTAATGTACATGTTAATGATGTGGGCACAGAAAACATTACATTATTATTAATGTCATTAGCTGGAGCACCTTCCATTAGTAGCTAATAAATAGGTCGAGCCTACATAGTACTCTGCTCTTGATTTCATTGTTGATTTAAATGCCTTAATGATATCATCCAAGTACTAAAAGGACTTCTTTTATAAAGCTACCACCTCCGTGAGTCTTGGAAACAAAGGAATTTATTACCATTTCAGTGCCCAAACTTTGACTTGATTTGCAAACTGTCCCCAGGAACAGTTCACTAAGTGGGTAAATAACTTCTATACATAAGTGCATACTTTCTCACTGATGAGTTGTGACAGCATTAGACTGTCCAAGGACACAAGGAATACTTTTTCTGACAGTCAACATTCTCCATTCTTATCTAGAAATTACTCTACATATTCACAAAAATGAAGAAGTAACATTAGGACCATGGAACAGAAACTCCAGGGTAAGATTCTGAGGCTGATGGGAGAAAAGAAAAATTCACAAATATTCATCAATGAAAAAATATGTTCCCAACCATTTATTTTTCCTAAATAGTAATGTTGGCTCTGCCTGCTAAAGGAAGGACATAGGGGAGAAAAATATTTCCAGCCCAATGCAAAGGATTATATTCTGCTTTTTTAAAAAAATCAAATGCATTGGCTAGCCAGTGTCCCTTGGAGTTAATTTGGAAAACCAGGGAAGGTAATTGATGAATAAACTTAATAATGTGGGAAGAAGAAGCAGTCTCCAGCAAATCTCAAAGAGGGGTGGTCCAACATTGGCTATGTCCTTGTGGAATGTAAGTTAGGAGTCTTACTTCATTAACCCAGAAATTATTCTTAGGCTTACTGTTTGGGAAAGGGCTTTGTTCTTAAATATTTAGCTAGAAACTTATTAGACGCTTAAAGGTCACAGATTGAACTGTTTTATGTTAGTCAATATTCTGAATAGCTTGTAGGTAAGGTCTCTGTACATTTATCTCCCAGCCTTGCTCTAAAAGAGCTCTAACATGAACTGTCTGGATACAAAAAAATTAAAATAACATTAAAGGTGGACAGAGAAAGGAGAGGAAATAACAAAGAAAATGTCCCACCATAGGTTGGAGAGGGAAGCTAATTTAAACTATACATCACAAATCCTACGTAGCTGCTATGACTGTCCTTTAAATGTATCTCGAGCCAAAAGGAAACTCAAATACATTTCTCCATCCAGTGCTTAGATTTTTAAAAAAATCTATTTGTTGAGGAGAAACACTACCTTCCTAAAAACAAAGACCAATAGAAAATTCAATGCAAATTAAAACAACATTGAGATTCATTCTCACTCCAGAAAGAACGGCTCTTATCAACAAATCAACCAATAACAAATGCTGGCAGGGCTGTGGGGAAAAAGGAACCCTTCTGCTCCACTGTTGGTGGGAGGGTAGACTGGTACAACCACTGTGGAAATCAGTCTGGAGATTCCTCAAAAAATTAGTATTAGAAGTCCCACTCAACCCAGCTATCTCCCTTCTAGGTATTTTCCCAGAAGAAATGAAAATATTATATCACAGAGATATATGTGCACCCGTGTTTATAGCAGCACAATTTGTAAAGGCTAAATCTTGGAAACAACCCAAATGTCCCTTAACTGAGGAATGGATAAAAAGATGTGGTATTTTTATACAATGGAGTACTACTCAGTTATGAAGAAAGATAAACTCAAGGCTTCTATAGGTCAATGGATGCAACTAGAGACCATACTCATAAGTGAAATAAATCAGATTCGCATGTGTAAACATTGTATTATCTCCCCAGTGTAAGAAACTGAAAGAATAAATAAGATCTAAAATGTACAATAGATATAGAGAAAGGGAACAAAACTGCTCAAAAGAAAGAACAACTGGGATGGGGGAAAGGAGAAAAGAAGGAGATACACAAGATAGCTAACATAATTGTCCTTCTAATTTCTATTGGTTTATTGAGAGGAGGAGTTAGTGCTTATATTGTTTGATCAATTTTGCATACCTGTATCTGGTAATCTGAGAAGCTACTTTGAAGATAACAATATGCAATAGAATAACCAGTGTTAATTTCCTATCATATTGTTTTGAAATTCTGTATCATTTTTATTTTTTTATCTTTAAAATAAAAAAGAAAAATAAATAGCATTTTTAGTTTAAGAAAAAAAGAAAATTCACAAAGAATCTTTACAAAGAGTACATTTGTAACATGGTGAGCACTAGTCTCAGTAGTATTTTTATGGTGGACAAAAAATTCTTTAAAATAAACTAACCATTGAGCGCATGACCCCAGATGAAAGGTTATTCTTGACTAATGTTGAAAGTAATAGTGGTCTAATATCTAAGGCACTGAGTGGTACTGCCCACTAGTGGATTAGCTTACAAATACCATGCAAGGCCGTCTCCTCAGTCTGGGATTGGTCTCTTTTCCAGAATAACGATTGATTTCCACAAGCTCTACCCAGTCCTAACAGTGTGGCAGCCCTCCATGAGTCTGCAGCTGAGGGAGACATAGCACTAACGTAATTCTCCCTCCTGCCATGGCTGACGCCAGCCTTCTTCTGAGGGCACGTTCTAACAGATGACGCGGCAAGGTCCTGACAGTCCTACTGGGGTGGATGGAGCCTGAGCCTGCTGACCCAGGCAGTGGGACAGGGTGCAAAGCCCAGGGGAATCCTTTCTCAGCTCAGTACATGGTGCGTAATGTGACAGATGAACTTGTTATCTCCCACTTGGCCCATGAAAGACTGTAATTAGATTCATTCATGGTTAATTAATTGCGTTCCACATGACTTCTTTGATTTGCTCTGCCCCCCACCCCAGTCCAACCTGTGCACTATTTCCTGTTGGACCCCAATTTCTTTCCTTGACTTCCATTCTACCACACACTCCACAGACACCTATGTTCCATCCATACTGAGCACTTGTACTTTTTGTTCCCAAACACGGACTGCATGTACTTTTCTAACTTCAGCTGAGTGCTCATGCTGTTTTTTTCTACCTGGCCATTCCTTCCTTCCCCACCCAGTATCTGCCTGGCGAAATAAAATTGAACATAGCCCTAAAGGCCTAATAAAAACACTTCTTTTTCTGTTCTCTCCTCCAGGGCGGGATTAATTGCTCCCTCTGCAAACTGCTCTCAGCACAAAGTATTCCTTGGCAGGAATCTCTGCCCGTCTCTCGCCTTTCCTCTCCTCTGCATGGCCTGCGCCTAGCACGCCATAAATAATCTGTGGGATGGATGCTTCGTGTGAAGAAGCCAAGTTCAGGCTTGGGCAAGATTCACCACTTTAAAATCAGGAGGACTTGGAGAACAATTATATTTGAAGGAGATTACACTGGAAAGATCTCTCGCCTTCTCAAGGGCAATACTTGATGCTTATTAAATAATAGGCATTTAATATGTACATATTCAGTGCCCGTCCTGTTCTGGATATGATGAACAGGGCCTGGGGACTACAACAGAATGGAACAGAAGGCTGAGAACGTCCAGGCACACAGAGGCCAAAGAAGAGGAGACAGAATGGTCACAGGGGACATCGCTGAGCTGGCTGCAGACCCCAGGAGAGTGTCAGAGGGTGAGGTCTCCCAGGTCCCTTAGGAAGATTCATGAGGCAAGGATAGGGACGAGTGGGCCCCAGAGCAAAAGGTAAGACAGATCATAGGAAACAGGGAGCTAGAGCTGTGCAAATGGGAAAGGGACCAAAAGGTGGAGGAAGGGGGAGGGGAAAGATGGATAAGTAAGAAGAATTAAGCTGTGCTATATACTTGTACCAACCGTAAAAGAAATGTCATCATTATGTGCTGCAAGTATACTTTTATTTTGGTTTTTCTCCGGTACCGGGAACCGGACTCACGACCTTGCGCTTGCCAGGCAGGCGCTTTGCCGCTGAGCTAAATCCCCAGCCCTGTGCTGCAAGTATTAAAAAAAAAAAATAATAATAATAAAAGAAGAAAGTAAAACAGAAGGGGACCTCAGAAGACCACTTGGAGGAGTGACATTGAAACTGAGACCTAAAGGACAGCGAGGGCCTTCTGAGCCGTGGAGTGGACGGACCGTGTGCAGACAGCAGGGCGGTGGGGATGTGCAGAAGCAGGCTTCCACAGCTCAACCGGCTAGAGCAGCAAAGGCTGACTGGCGGTAGCGCTGCTGGGCACGGGGCCAACTTAGACACTCCGAGTTTATGCAAAGTGACACAGTCATCATGGCCCGGAAGTCAGAGAACTTTACTCTGTTTGAAGTAAGGCGCTAACATGCTATTTCTTAAGTTCAGTTATTCAGCAAGTTCTGATTAATCTATAACCTTTTATAAAGCTGAATACTACTTAAGAGACAGAAGGTAAAACACTGACAGCATTACCTTTGGAAGGCAGGGCAAAAAGTTTTTGATATCTCACTTGTCTTAAAATATTTCACTCTCTTTTGTTTTTAATAAAAAGCATTTGAAACTTAAAAAGAAGGCCATAAAATGAGAGGCCAAATTTCACTTGCCACTGATGTGAATGTATTTGTGTTATGTATAATCTACAACTGCTCATTGAAATTTAAAATAAAGTGGTCTAACACAAATTATGACTGGGTTAAACATTATTTTTAAATGTCTTCAGGAAGTGGGAGATTTTCCCGAGAATTTATGTATCAAAGTTGTCATCATTAAAATATATATGTTTGGCAACCTGTATGTCAAACGCTGCTCTACAGGACGACAACCACTCTTATATCATGGCCTTTTTTTATTTGTTCTGTGTCTGCCTAATTGTAGTTTATTTCTGAACTCTCCCCTCTTCTAGGTGTTCATTTGTGATTATGGTGCCAGGCCGCTCTAGCTGCCCCGGGAAGGACAGAGACGGATAAAGCATAGCGTTTCTCTTTCGGTTCCCTGGCTTCTTCCCCTGAGCTGCTGGCAATGAATGTTTTAATTCTGCGTGGGGAAGGTTCACCTCTCCCTTAGTGCAAGTGGGTCAACCTTTCTCCACCTTTCCTTCTAAATTATTCAAATTATCAGGTCAAAATTAGCAATTCACTGGAAATGAGGACAGCTTTCATTCCAAATGTAAATATATACAGCATTTCCCAGCTTGCCTAAACATGGAAGCTTGATTATGCAAGATTCTGAGACACGGTTGAGAGAATTTAGAGCTGTACTCCCTGTGCTTGAGGAACGTTAGAAACATGAAACGCAAACAAAATCTTGGGTTAGCGGTATGTGAAAAAGGAAAAAGAAAAGGAAAAAGGGAAAGACAACTTGTCTGAGGTCAAAGTTAACTAACGATGATTTTGTGGCCCACCTCTGTCCAGCAGAAACTCTGCAAATTCTCGTGCGTATAATTTCACACGTGGTGTTCAGCTTTTCCTTGGGAGCGAGGAGGGCGGGGAGAAGAGACGGAAGCGAGCAGAAGCGCCCAGGCGGAGGTGGGCCCTTTTAACTAGGACGTGCCGCTTCGTCATGTTTCCCAGATCGCCTGAGACCTCGTTCCAAAAGTGGCTTCTCAGAAGTTTTCCGAGTTTGAAGCCCTGCTGGGAAGTATGTTTTTTGTTTTGTTTTGTTTTTGGTTTTTCTCCGGTACCGGGAACCGAACTCACGACCTTTTGCTTGCCAGGCAGGCGCTTTTGCCGCTGAGCTAAATCCCCAGCCCCCCTGCTGGGAAGTATGTAACGGCGGCAAGTCTCTGCTATGGTCTGGGTGCCAGGCTAAGCATTCTGCATATTTCATTTAAACAATCCCCAACGCTGGCTGCTTACTGAGATGAAGTAGTCTGTGCTGTGTTAGGTGCTTCTCACTGGAGCCCCAAAGCCATGGGGCTGCCTGATCTTGGACATCCAGACTCCAGGCCAGAGGGCTCGATAGATCTTTTATCTTTATAAAAATAAATAAAGCAAGCCTAGAAAAACCAGCTGGGTCTAACTCCTTCTGTAAGGATGAAAGAAGAGTGAAGGGGTGAGTAGTTTTCATTTTGTGCACAGCTTTTAAGTAGGAGGGCCAGGATTCAAACGCAAGCATACGTCTTCCAAAGGAGTCTTTTCAACTGCCATGCCATGCTGTCTGTGTAAGGCCCAGTGTGGGCATATTCAGAGGCACACTTGTGGTGGGTGAATCTTAAAAAAACCATTACAGTAAGAATCTATTACACTGAAAGACATAACTGTCTTTATCACCTATAACGTATTTAAATTACTCTCCCTTGCTTCAAAAACACATATGCTATTGTTCTTGGTAGTGCGACTTTTACCATAATGAGTTAAAATTTTAAAATATTCACTGTATGTTTGATCACCTCCTGTATACAAGTGAGGCAGAATGCAGGAAGGTGTATGTTTCTCATGGTGCACATGGCCTGGAAGTTGCACTAGTGAAAGAGGCTTCCCTGACCTGAGAGACAAGCTTTGGTGGCAAAGGATGGAGAAATGCTGTCAGAGCGAGAGGACAGAGCAAGAGTGTACGAAGGTTCTCTCCACAGGGGTTGCTGGGTGGAAGCTGTCGGGAACTTTTCCTGGGCCTCCCCAAACCAAAAGTCTTCTCGTGAATAAATAATGTTTGAAGCTTAAAAAATAAAAACACAAGTAGCAGAAGCACAGAAAGTGGAAGTGAAGTGCTGCTGGGATTTTACAGGGTGACGTAAGCACTGCAGGGTCTCCGGGGACATCCACAGCGACAGGACAGATGGACAGTGTCCTCGGGAATAACACAGCAAAGGAAGAGAACAAAGCCACAGAAAGAAAGCACCAGTCAGTAAGGCCACGCCCCTCGAATCTCAGTGTATCGCTGCTCTTCGTCTGAGCTCGTCAGATGAACCCCAGTTTCCAGGAGAAGGAAACACTCAGTTCCCCCCTTTAAATGGCAAAATCCTTCCCAGTTCTTTTTTTGGACCATTTTTCTCTTCCAGGAAGTTGTCAAAATATGGGATTTTTAACTTTTAAGAAAAACAGGACTGAAATGTGTCAAGTCCCTGGAAACAGTCTGAAACCCAAGTGAGTTGATGCAGAAAAACACATACCCTGAAAATCCTGAGACCATCTGGCCACAGAGCTCTCAGTTTCTCTGACAACACCACTGGAACTGTGGGAGGGCAAGTCTTGTAATTACCCAACCGAAAGCCGGCCAGGGGAACAAACAACACACTGGTACAAAACAACCTGAGCACCCGTTCTATTGAAGTTAGAGGCCCGTGCCATCCTCCAAGTTCATATCAGACTCAAGAGGAGACTAGGGAAAAAGATTTGTCCTTGAGATATGGGTACAGACCAAGCCATGTTTAAGACACACTAAGGAAGGTGGCTATTTAAAGGGAAGCCCAGGAAAAAAGGCACAGAAGTAATTACTCTTCATGTTTGTCTTGGGTTAATATTGCTACAAAATAGGTGTAGTTACAACTTTTTTGGAATTGTGTTCATGAACAGTTATTAAATTTGCAAGTGTAAAATGTTCTGATCTATTTGAGACATTTGATAGTCAAAACTGAATATAGACCAGGCAGGAAGGAAAAAATAAGTCAAATGTGAACACCTCCCCAAGGGAAATCGTAGCCTCCTGTGGGATCTTGTTTACAGGTAAGAAGGACAGAACTCCCCCACAACCATCCCCTTTTGTATGCAGGAGATTGAATCCAGGGCCTTTACACTGAGCTACATTCCATCCCTTTTTACTTTTTGGTTTGAGACAGGGCCTCACTAAGTTACAAAGTTGCCCAGGCTGGGCTTGAAGATGGAGATTTTCCTGCCTCAGCCTCCCAGAGTCCTGGGATTACTGGCATGCACCATCATGCCCAGCTCAAACCAGAGCTCTCTGTAAACTCTGGGGTCAGGTTGATAAGATTTCCAGTGAGAAGAGGGACTATCCTTTACCGAAACAAGACAATCATATGATGGTGTATAAAGATTCCCTCTGCTAACAAAGCAATAAACCCATATGTGTAGCAAAAACCATGTAAGGCTCAAAATTGAGAGCCCTGAAAAATAGGTGTGAAGTTTGGGTCTTCTAGGGAACATGCTGCACAGATAACTATCCGGTGGCCACCTTCTCACCGGGTGCCCTTCCCCAGAGCCCTCTCTTCAGTAGCAGGATCATCCTGGTGTCCTGTGTCCCACAGCCCTGTTGCTTATGGAGCAGGTTTCTTGCCATTTGGTTTTGGGTGTGAGGACTTCTCAGCAGCATTTTACATCTGAGGCATGAACCGAGGTGACAGGGAGGAGGTGAGACTGGTCATGCCAGGATGGGTCAGGGCAGAAGCTGGATCAGTCCCCAAGTGGAAGAAGAGAGGGGTTGCAGCCTGGGTCATACACACCACATATGGGGTGGGTGTTCTCAGAGGGCCGGGAAGGGGAGGGGACGTACCTGAAATTTCTGGAAGTGTGGACTTGTCTTCTTCCCAGAAGTTCCCATTACAAACAAGAAGTCTGGGGTCAGCACAAATGGCACTCTCTCTTTATTAATGCCCAGGAAACTTTTATAATTCCCAAGAATGTGCCCAAAGTCAATATGGAATAGGTTTCCTTAAGAGAAGAAAACATCTGACATTATTACACTAACACGTGTACTTGTAATAACACTTTGTTTATTTCTTGAAATAATTCTTAAGTTGCCTGAAAATGAACTGTCCTGGGTGATAGCATTTTTTTACACTGTTTATTAACTTGCAGGATTTTCTATCTTAGCAGGTGTGTGAAAGTATTAGTAGCCACAAAGCATTCTTTGAAGCAAGTATGTTTTTGGAGCCTTCTGGTGTTCTTTAGATGACAGCCGAAACCTTTTAAAAATTCTGACCTTACAATTATTCTCAGAAGCATAAATCCAAGCTTTCTGGCTAATATGTTAGC